TATGTATATATATGTACATATATATATATATATATATATATATATATATATATATATGTATGTATATAAATACATACATATACAGATATATATATATATATATATTTATATATATATATATATATATAAATATATATATATATATATATGTATATATATATATATATATAAATACATATATATATATATATATATATATATATATATATAAATAAATACGTATGCACACACACACAGAGACACACAAACAAGTACACATACACACATACACATATACCTACATACACAAATATTTATATAGACTTGTAAACCTTCTCACACTCACACGTATAGACTTGTGTGCACATTTTATGATTGTATTGGTAAACTTTGTTTACTTGAATAAGAAGGAATAGACTTATCTATTGAATTACCTGCGTTGCGAGAGAAAAACTCCAGTGCTTCATCGATGGTGCGGAAAGACTTGCAATGGACTGTACATATTTATTTGAATATACTTGACTCTCAACTTCGTGTATATATTCACATATGCATTGCATTTATATTTTTTAACGTATCTGAACACCACTCACCTTTTGTGAAGTACATACAGCTGACAGGCTCAGCATCTCAAATTTTATCTGGGGCGTTTTGTACATTCTTGAATTTTATCTGGAAGGGGGTTTTTTTATAAAAACAACACCTCTCCCTATACTCTAGAGAGTAGAGAGAGGGAGAGTGATCTCTGTAGAGTAGAGAGAGGGAGAGTGATCTCTGTAGAGTAGAGAGAGGGAGAGTGATCTCTGTAGAGGAGTGAGAGGGAGAGAGATAGAGACTGAGAAAGAAAGAGAGAAGGAGGAATGCAGTGCAGCACACGGTCTGACAGACTGGCACGGCCACTACACTATATTATTTAAGAATATTTTTGTCATGAACAAAATTGTGCATCAATCAATTCCTTCCTGTGTTCAGCATCAATAAATATCAAAGTACACTTTATTACAAGTACGCGTGTGCATTGTGCGAAATTGATGAGCTAGCACTGCTTCGTCCAGAAAAGTGCACAGTGGTTTATAGGCCATATTCACTTCGTTGTTTGTGTAGCACGATATGTCAAATATACCCTCCTCGTGTTGTAATTACCCATATCAACACTTATAAATGTGATTCATATGACTACAGCCAATTCAAGACACAGCTGGAGTCGTACCTTTTTAGTACGGGGCGGATGATACATGGTCGACTGCGTTGCGAGGTTATAGGCTCAATGGTAGACCCCTAACGGTGTCGGCTACAAATCCTCAATATCTCCAATAGTACAGACCGTCTGGACTGCTCGTATATGTAACTGCAACGCATACCCTTCCACCGCCTATAGAGCGCGATATTGATTATTTCCGCTTCAATTCAACTCTGTTACTCTCGTCTCGGCCTAAGAAATTTTAATACAGGCGAACAAGTTGGTTTTAAACCAGCTCAGAGTGCACGCCTCGTTGAATTCCTTGCTCAGTTGTGCATCGAATACACACCCGCGTTTATCCATCTCAGCGATGATATAGTCCAATTTCTGAAGATTTATATGTCCCACACCACCCTGGCCCGGCTTTGCCCAACTCATTACTACCATCCGAGTGGATAAACCAGAGACTATGTCAAGTAGACTACTCTCCTTCGACTTCGGCACGTGCTCTCCGGTTTCAAAGCATGTCACAACTTCTCGTGGCTGCAACTCGTTCAGAAGTTCATTGCTCGTAAAGTCACGGTTTATCACCTTCCCTTGTGTGTATTCCTCTACTCCGAGATTCCCATCGAAACCTAACGCATCTATGTCACCTTCTCTGTAGAAATTCACATACCTCCCGACACCAGCACCAAAGTCGTACAGAGATGTATAATTCTTTCTGTGCAGTATCGATAGGACTTGGGTTGCTAGTCCTTCATCGAGGTAATACTTGTCTAATTTCGATGGACACCAGGCCCCAGAAAAACTCGCTAGCAATGTCTTATCTGCTTGGCACTGTTTGGTTGCGCACTGTTTAATTGCTGACGCTTCCTCAACTTTCGGGATGTCAGCGGAGGCCACTCTCTCGTCGTCACAACGGTGCAGGAGATATGACTGTTGAAGTGCAGGTTCTAAGTAGCAGTGTAAGTTGCTGCACATATAGTCAGTGGGAACGAAATCCACACTCTTAGCTTCATGCGCTTCAGAGAGTGTATCAATAGGAACGACATCCACAATGCTAGCTTCATACGTTTCGGAGAGTGCACCCCCATGCCACTGATAACCAACAAATATGCATAAGAAAGTTAGCAGCGCGACTGCAACAAATCTACAGTGATTCGTCTGCAGGGGTATGAGTGACATAGTAGTGGTATGTGTGATATAAACGTCAGAATCGAAATAAGAAAAGTAGGTGCCAGGGCTGTACTATTGTAGTTTCCAGATATTTTGAAAAACTTGTAATCCCTGCTACATTTCAAACTAAAAAATATACCAGGTTACGATTGGATAAAAAGTAGTTGCCGGAGCTGTATATAATTACTTCACAACAGTATATTTTGGGTCGATCCTCCGCTGCTGATTGGATTAGAAGTCAATAAATTTCCGACAAAAATTAAATATTGTACTTTGTCGTCGTATAAGAACCAACCAGAATGCCATAAGAAAGGGCAAACCCCTCCCCCCCCCAGTCCAGTCCATATTTTGAGTACAGGTAATAAAATAACCAAATAAATATAATTGAGGTGCTTTACGACATGTATACGAAATGCTAAAATATTTGTATTTACTACAACATGAGTATTGTGTTTACATGCTAATCGCACTATAAACATCATTGCACATCACCACGAGGTAGCTACCGTTGGTAGCCGAGGAGCTACCACTGGTAGTTCCTGGACTGACCGCGGTGAGCCGCTGAAATAGAGCTCACTTTCTTCAGTTATCCATGGTAGCTGTTGTAGTAGCTGTTGTATTTAGATCACTATTATAGAATACATTTAACTAGATACCTTCTCATGTAGATCCCAGTTATACTAATAGTACTTATTTGCATATTGCTGTACATAGACACATATTTTCAGACTCAGAGCAACATAGATAGCATATATTTAGCTACTTAGGGATAATATTATTTATTTAAAGGAGTTAAGTTACA